CCCTGAAAACACACACATACATACAAATGTTTGTGTATATGCTCACATGCATGCAGAATGGTAGATCTGAAGAACAGAACATAATGACACTGAAATTTTAAGCACTTGGAGGCATTAAGGATAAAGTTATTTCTTTAAAAAATGTATAATGTTTACCCTTTTTACTTTGAGAATCATAATTGATAGGAAAAAACCTATGATTTTTTTTAATGCCAGTGATGAGAGTAAATTATTTTTGGAAATGTATTCATGTTTGCACATGATGCTTTTAAAAATGTGAGTTACTAATTCTGCTAGAATGAACTAAATTCAGCAATAGTGGAAAAGACCTGAGGTATGGTACTAAAATCTTCAAAGAATTTATTGTGTCCTATTATATAAGTCATGTCACTTATTCTCAAATTTGTAAAATAAAGTGCTTTGCTAAGTCATTTCATTTGTATAATTCTACAAAATTTTGGCATGTGTGATATGGTTATTTATGGACAGATGGAATCTATGAATATGTTTAGAATTACTGTATTACTGACAACTTGGTCATTTGGATTATGAATTATAATTTTAAATGTAAACAGAACTCCAAATGTATAGGGTATCATTTCTTCAGTGATAAGCTAGATGTACTATTTTTTATATAAAAGCAAAAAAAATGAAGCAAAACCCACTTTCTGCTTACTGAAATGTTTGAAACATCCATAGAGAACATAAATGAAAAAGAGTGTCCAGATTTTTTTCCTTTGAAATACTGGGCTTGTATACTTAAATATTTTGATCCTGAATCTTTGATACTGATAATTTTATAAAATGAAGATTTTATTATGTAAGCTTAGGGAAGAGTAGTTCTTTAGCTGGGATTCATTTCTAAAGAAGCTTACATAAACAGTTTTAAAAATGATCTGAATTAAGTGATAGTATGTATATAACTTGATGCTTCTTAGCCACTTAGAAAGTATTTGAGAGTGTAGACTTCCTCCCCAGGAAAATAAAATAAAATGAACTTAATAAACATTTATTTCCCTTTTTAAAAAAATTACACATACTCTTATAAATCCCTGTAGCCTCTTTGTAGAATTATAAGTTGGTGGTATGTGACAATGACAGTCAAATTTACCTCCATATAAATTCAAAGCAAATTAATTTCATAGGAATTTTTCTACTTTTAATTTCGTGACAGCCTATGTGGGATTGTGTAGTTGTGCGTAGTTTTGTCATTAGATACTGGTTTCTGGACTCATGGAATAATAAGTAAACCTCAGTTATAAAGTTGAGACATTACTTTTCTCTAAAATATCTTATCAAAAAAAGTTGGTAAAAAATAATAGAGCATAATTTACTTAATATTTGTGGCTACGACTGTCGGAAATTTCTTTTGGCATAATCCACATGATGAATATGTTAAGTGAAAAGTGAGTGGTAACCATATCTTAGGGGGTAAGAGAGGACAGTTTACTCACTGTATATTTTTCTGTTGATTTAATTTACTATTATGTTATGACCTTGGTCTTTAAAGATACTCTTGGATAGTTTTCTTTCTTTTTCTTTTTAATTTTTATTTTGAGATAGAATCACACTAAATTGCTCAGACTGAGCTCAAATTTCTCATCCTCCTGTCTCAGCCTCCCAAGTAGGTGGAATTACAGGAATGCACCACCATGTCTGGCTTTCCTTCATTTTCATAGCAGAGAAATTGAAAAGGTTAGGGTATGCCCAAATGGCATACTTAATGGCAGTCTAAGAATTAGGACTAAATTATCCTAACTTTCAGATTTTCCTCCTCTCAGTCACCCATTCTGTTCATTATCTATTCTGTTCATTATCTAATAATAGAAAAATAAATCACATTTTTCAAAAATTTGTATTTTAAAATCTTTTGAAAAGTCGAAAATTTTCATTTCAAATTAGTGACGTCAGATTTAGAATTAGAATGTTAGGTTAAAGCTTGCTAGGCACTAAAATTAACTTTCTGCGCTTTGGACAACTCCGCACATCTTTTCTTGAATTTGTTTTTGA